AACGTTTGACATATCTCCAAAATGCCACTAGAAAATTATAAATTAGTCCCTATAAATTTGAAATATTACAAAAACCCCTAAAACTTGAATCGAACGAGAGAAGCTGCTGAGTCCCGATCGGACGGACCAGGTTTTAAAACAAAGTGGGGACTTGAAGAGTTCAAATTGTGTTTTGAAAGTGGGATGTGTAATGAGATGAAAAGTTGGACCGTCCATTGTGGGCCGGCTTGGGCCCATTTAGTTTGGTTATTGGACCAAAGGCCAAGTTGGGCTTTAGATTGAATCATGTCCAAAGTCAAATTAGCTTCAATCTATGAACCAAAAAAAGAGTAAATTTGGGTTTAATTATAAATTTTAATTACTAAAAAAAATTACAGAAATGAAAAATACATGTATTGATATATCTATTCCATAATTAATAGTAAAATTTATCTCATAAATTCTACTTATTATTTTATATAATCTCAAATTATGAAGGACCAATTTTGGTTTTATTCAATTTTTCTTCATAATTTTTTATTTAATTCAAAATACAATTTTTACAAAGAGTGGTTCTATTGTCCCACTTTTTAATTTATTTTTATAACTACAAATTTATCCTTAAATTAAATTACTAAATTTATATTTAATTTCTTCTTCTTTACGAAACACTCTTTACACCCTCTTATTTATATATAAAACCTAATCATTTATATTTCATATTCAACTCTGCTTTGATAGATTTAAAACAATTTTGATAATTAAAAGAGCGTATTTAGATCGAGAAAGAAGTTTTCTAGGAGATATATTGGGTTTTTAATTGTATAAAATTATAAGTTTGTAATTGCTTCTTAAGTTTTCCTTTTTATTAAGTTGTGTCCTTAATTTTTATTCATCAATGACAAAAATATATTTCATTTTTTAAACTTATGTTTGCAATATACTTTTTTATAATGCTACAATTTTTTACTTGATTTCTATAATGTGGGTAAATTATTTTTTTAGTTAAGTTCTAGTGAATCTCAAATTAAATGCTTGAAATTCTGTCTCAAGAAGAAAAAAATTGAAGGAAAACAGCATGAGTAAAATTATAAAGTAGTTATTTTTTTTTTTTAAATAAATTGGATAAATGACATTAAGGTAGTGTTTGGTTTCAGGAATGTTTTATTAATGAAAAAATAAGATTACCTTGAAGATAGATTATCTTAAAAGAGTAAGAGGAATGTTATGTTATATACATTTGGTTAAATTGGTGGGTATAAATAATTAATATATTTGTTTGGTGGAACGAAAGAATTGTGGGAGAGCCTTCTACTAAATTATCATTCTTTATAAATAGTATTATTATTATGTAGATTATTTAACCCCCTTACATTTAAAAATTTAGCTAAAACACCGCAATCATAATAAAAGTTTAAAATTTAACAAAATGCCCCCAACCATCGGTTACCACCGCCAGCCGCCACTGACATTCATCGGAATGATGCACGAATAGTTGGATATGGCTGGATGTGTGCCGATTTGGCCATTTCCGGCCAGATCGACATGCGACCAACCAGATTCGGCCTATCATGCGCTGTTCAGGTGATTGTTGGCGGCGGTTGGCGGTGGCGACCAATAGTCATCTTAGGTGGTTGGGGTGTTTTGGATAGTATTCATGCAATAAATTTTCAAAATAAGGGTATTATTATCCAAAAAATTAATTATTTAGGGGTAAAATGGTAACATGTATTGTGGGGTATTTTTGTCCAAAAACTTAATTTATGAGATTACAAAAGTCATTTCGCACAGTTGGACTAATTATTATTTGATAGACATATGAGGGTAGGGGTGTTCAAAAAAACGCAAAAACTGAACCAAATCGAATTTTCAATTAGCCGAAAAACCGATTCAATTTCGGTTCAAAGAAATTAAAAAACCATATTTTCGATTTGGTTACCGGTTTGGGAGAAAATGGAAACCGGTTAACCGAAACCAGTTTTATTAATCGGTTTACTATAAATAATTAAATATATTAAATTAAAAAAAAAAAACCTAAACCGAAATCCCCTTTTCGTTTTCAGCTTTCATTTTCAGTTTTCAGTCTTTATTCTCTCTGGTCTCCACTCTCCAGTCTCCACCGTCCACCCACAACCCACATTACACTATTACAGCCACAGAGCACTGCCGCAGCAACTTCGTCGATTCTCTCTAGCTTCGATTTTCCTTCAAAACAGCTTCATTCTCACCTCCGGCAGTAGGAGCAGCTTCGTTGTTCTTCATTCTCACCTCCAACAATAGCTTCGTCTTTCTTCAGCTCAGTCACTCATCTTCTTCAGCTTCGTCCCTCTCCAGATTCGTCACAGAGACACAAACAATCAGATATTCTTTTCCTCTCCACAATCTAAACCTCCCATTAGAGTTGAAATCTTCTCTAAAATTTTTGAATTAAAACGGTTTATGGGATTATCAATATTTTATTTGGTTATCATTTTGAGTTGTCAACAACACAATAATCATATGGATTGCTCTTTGTTAACATTACTGTGTTTGACTTTAAAGCTTTTCTTCGTAAGTAATGAAATCTTGGAATTTAAGTGGAAGTTATGAGTGGAATTTAAGTGGATTATCAATTTTGGACTTTATAGCTTTTCTTCGTATTAGTCTTGGAATTGGAGTTTGAATCTTCTCTAAAATCTTCAGGCATGATTGATTTTAGGTGTAACACCAAAAACAAAAGAGTATTGTTTGATTGTAATTTTTAGAATAAGAGAATTGATTATTAAGATTTCAGTGTAAGGAAAACTAAGATTTTACAGATGTGTAGTAGATGATATTACAATTCTATACTTTAACGGTTTGAATCAGGGAAAATTAAAAAAAACAAATAATAATAAGTTTAAGGGGAAAACCGGTTCGGTTTCGGTTCAGTTAAATTCCTGAATCGAAAAACCGGTTCGGTTCAGGAAATCGGTTAACCGATTTTAAACACCCCTATATGAGGGCATTTGTGTTTGAAATGTTTATTAATTAAGAGTAAAATGGAAACAAAATTTAGATTACCTCAATAATAAAAGAATAACACCCCTTGAGAAAGTAATCTGATTACCTCCTATATCATTAGGTGCGTTTAGTTCGGGGAATGTTTTATTGCTCAAAAGGTAGTATTACCTCCGAGATAGATGACCTCAAAGATTACTGGAGAATGTTACACCAATATGTTTGGTTAGATTAGTGGGTATAAATAATTAAGATGATTGATTGGAAATAATAAAATATTATCGATAGAAGCTTTTACTAAACTGTCATCCTTTTTAATATAATAATAATAATAATAATAATAATATATTATTATTATTATTATTTTTAAATAAATTCCTTTAACCCCCTATATTTGAAAATTTAACTAAAACACCCCCAACAACAGAGTTTAAATTTAAAAAAAATACCCACAGTCACCCAAGAAACCCACAGCCATCCAAGACCACCGCTGGCAACCGGCATCAATCACCAAAATGGTAGCCATGCATCGTTTTGGCTATTTTCGGCCAAATCCAAGGTCGAAAACAGCTAGATCACTATGGATCTGGCTAAAAACGACCAGATAGATCCACGAAAATCTAGCTGTTTTTAGCCAAATCCACGTTGATATGGCTGTTTTTAGCTAGATCAAAAATAGCTAGGTCGTCGTGGATTTGGTTGAAAACGGCCACAAATAGTTGATCAATTATGGTCGTTTCTGGCCAGATTCATGTCTATCTAGCCGTTTTCAACCTTCGATCTAGCAGGAAACAGTTAGATCGATGCACAGCTAGCCAGATCCCACTGGGCATGTTTCAATATGGTGACTATTTTCGATGGTCGACAGTGGTGGCTGGTGGCCGGTGGTGCTCTTTGGTTGCTGGGAGTATTTTGTTAACTTTTAAACTTTTTGTGATTGTGGTGTTTTAGTAAATTCTAAAATGTAAGGGGTCTAAGTTTATTGTTATTTGGTAGACATTTAAGGGCAATTGTGTCCAGAATGATATTTAATTAAAGGCAAGATAGGTATAAAATTAAGAGACCCTAGTAATCTTTAAGAAAAATGCTATCCTTACAAAGACTTATACAAAGAAGGCTACAAAGTGAAGGAAAAAACAAAGAAAAAAGGGATAAAGAGAAAGAGAGAGAGAGAAATCATGAAGATCAAGGGTAGGGGTTGTCTTTGTATGCCCCATTTGTATTTGTCTTTGTAAGACTAGCACTTCTCAATCTTTAAATACCACCCCTTGAGAAAGTAATCTGATTACCCTCTATTAACCCACAGTAATCACTATTGGTATTGAAAGATTACCGAAGTATTTTATTACTTGACAACCAAACAAGGGAATGTCCGGAATTAAAGATAGATTACCGAAGTTATATTTCCAAAGCTCTAACCAATCACACCCTTAGTAATTGCTATTGTATTGGAAGATTATTGAAATTTTTTATTATTTGATAACCAAACAAGGGAATGTCCGGAATCAAAAATAGATTAGCGGAGTAATCTTCTTAGATCCCTAACCAAACGCACACCCTAATAGAATTTGTGGGGTGTTATAAGAAAAGAAAATCTTAAAGGGGTATTCGGGTGTTAAAGAAAAAAAATTCTTGAAACTTTAAGTGGGGTGTATTAAGAAGGGAAAATGATAGAGTTACCGAAAAGTTTTCATCGAATTTGTGCACCGAATGACGTGATAAAATCCTGACTGTTGATTAATATTAACTGATAATAAATCAACGGTTAGAATTTTATCATGTTATTCGATGCATAAATTCGGTGCACACCCGTCGATAAGTATAGCATTACTCATTAAGAAGTGGGGTTTCCTTAGTTTGAGAGCGGGGGCCCAGTAGAAGTGCTCTTTTACAAAAGTAATAAACTCTGGGCCGAGTGCTCTACCCAACTGGGCCTAATTCGTTTCATCAAAACAGCGTCGTTTAATGTAGATTGCTACGACATCGTTTTAGTGACACAAACTCACACTCTCTCTCGCTTCTCTTCGAATCAAAGCCTCTCTCCTCTCTCACGCTCTCGCAACACGCACAAACTCTCTCTTCTTCTAGGGTTTTCAGAGGCCTCTAGATGTTGTAAATGGAAAACGAAGGGCCGAAAGAGCCAGACAAGAAGAAGCCGCACTTGAATTCTCACCCTCTTTCTCCCTCCATGGCTCGCAACTCTGCCACTTCTCCTTCGAATAACAAAACCGTAATCTCTCTCTAGCTCGCTTTGTTTTATTTGTTCTTATAGTTATTATCGGAATCGTCTCGTTTTATGATTACAATATTTGCATATTCAAAATAATTTAATGTTAGGTTTCCTTTTTTAGTTATTTTCTTTTATGAAAATTACGTTGCATTAATAGGTGTAATACGCAATATGAAACGCGAACTTAGCCGAATTTTATGTTTAACTTAGCTCGAAGAAATTAAAATAAAAGGATTACGAGGAATAGTTGTTTCTAGGGTATGCTACTGTGCTGTTATAAGTTTTATGTTCACGTGATAGTAATTGTAAGTGAGCCTTTTATTTGTTTGACATTTCTATCTGGAGGCATTTGTTGATTGACATGGTTAATTTGTCAATTCGCGAACAAACAATCTGATTATGTGCGGAAGCACAACCCTGGACAGACGCATGCAGTATTCGCTAGGCTTTGGTTGTTCGGTGCAATTTAGAGTTCATAGATATGGAGGATTATTGATATTGCTTATATAGGAATTCTTTTTCAGTAGTTTATTTGTTTGTGTTTACATTAATGTAAAATTTATGAAGTTACTAGCATTTGTTGCTATATATGATTCAAAAATTTATTTGTATTTTATGTTTAATTGGAGCTCAAATAAATGATAACAAAGATAAAAAAAATTTATTTGGAATAGTTGTTTCTTGGGTTAGACTTCAGTAGTGTTATAAGTTTTAGGTTTGTGAGATAGAACTTAAGAGTGTCACTTTTTATTTGTTTGACGATTTATCCAGAGGCAATAGTTGATTAGCATGGTTAGTTTGTCAACAGAGCAAACATATAGGTTCATGAACAAACAAACTGAACTCAGTGTCAGCTAGGTTTCTGTTGTTTAGGGCATGATAGAGTTTGTAGATACGGAGAATATTGTTATTTATATTAACTCTTTTCAAGTTGCTCATTCGTATGAGTTACATTAATGTAAAACTGTAAAGGGGAGAAACTTTTAACATGATTTTAATTCTCCAGGTTGATGCGGCAGTTCTTCAGTATCAGAATCAAAAACTTGTACAGCAACTAGATGCTCAGAAGCATCAGTTGCATGATCTTGAAGCCAAAATTAAGGAATTTAAAGATAAACAAACTTCGTATGATGACATGTTAATTACAGTGAATCAACTTTGGAATCAGGTGAAGTGTCTTTTCTTTTTTGATATGTATCCTTTTTCTTGTCATTTTTACCCTCTTATGTAGTTTTGATCTAATGTGTTTAGTGCTGTCGTTTTGCTGTGTAGTTGGTTGATGATTTGATCTTGCTTGGGGTACGAGCCGGTGGAGGCCCTAATGCTTTACGAAACTTGGATTGCAAAGACCAGCCACGAGGTCTTTTAGCATTTTAGCCTTTTTGTTTACTAGATGAATAAATTAGTCTTATAATCTTATATATTGCATTAACCTTGACTTTCACATCTGATTAAGTTTACTGACTTGAGCTATACTTTAGATCCTGTTCCATCTTGTCCTCCGGAGGATATGTTTCTTGGTAGACTGCTACGAGTAAATTGCATTGAAAATACTGGTAATGAGGGGATTGCCAATTACGTTGAAGAAGCCCTTGCTCCACGTCATTCATCTACTAAGGAGTTGATGAAGTTTCTGGAAGATGTCATTGAAGCACAGAGGGTGAAAACTGAGAGTGTAGCTCAGACTTTGCAAGGAAAGCTATCTGCAGAAGGTCAGAAGATATCTTGATGTCAGGTCCAATTGTTAATTCATCATTCTTCGTATATATTTCCTATGATTAGGTTAGTCCATTTCATTGTTGATCTTCAAAGTAGTATTCAATTCAGAACTTTGAATTGATTATTGTCATACATTTGGGGTTTTCAGATGCCATTATCCAATTGTCAAAGATGGATGATATGATGAAAGAAGAGGCTAAAAATCTGCATGAGGTGATTGAAATTCTCCATTTGAAGCATAAGGAATATGCTAATTGGATTCAAACATATATATGCAACCATTCAGTTGATCAGTCTGAGATTAAACGCGTCGCAGGTCTGTGATAAAATTCTGACTGAAGATATTTTTATTTTTCTTGCACATGTTTTGACCTAGATGCATAACTCTCTGCAGTCATGCCAAAATGCCATGTTCTTATTTATTTATCTTTTTTTAGAAGAAACATATTAATATTGTTGATTGAAACTTGCCAAAATGTTAGGCTCCGTTTGGTTCACTATTCTAATGCTTTTAGAATAGTATTTTGAAAAAAGTAAAGTTGAGTTGAGTTGGGTTATATATACGAGAAAGGTAATTATTAATGTTTTGAGTTGAATAAAGTAGAATTGATTTTTTAGAATATTGAAACAAATGCATTTTTGGGGTTTTAGGATAGGATGGTGGAATAGGATAGGATAAAAATAGTGAACCAAAGGGGCCCTTATTGACATGTAATTATTCAGAAGAATGTTAGCAACCTGGAAAATACTTAGCTGTTCTATGGGTACCATTTCTCAATTTTTTTTTTCCATTTACAGATCCAAAAATAGATAGAATATATGTTTAATATTTTTTATGAATAACTTGAGTTAGAAAACACAAAATTTGTTTTCCAAGATTTAGTGATAAACTCAAAAACAACTTCAAAATGGTTATTTATTAAAAAAAAAAGGGTTCTGGAAACACCTACAACTCTTTTCTATACTTATTCAAAATACTATTACCAGATGTGTTTTCATGGTTTTGGTTCTCAAAACCTAATTTCTGAATGTGGGTCCTTGGCTATATCAAAATTGTATTTGATGCAGCCGTGTATAAATTAATTCTGTTGCTTATGTTTAAGGTTTAACAAATTAGGTTTTTATTTGTGGGTTCTCTTACACATTCAATCCACATTTGATGTGGAACCTCATGATTGTTTACTAACCATATGTATATATTGTTTATGTTCTTAGGTGAGCTCGAAGAGAGCATGGCTGAACTTGAAGAAAGTAGAAGAAAGCTGGTCAATCTGAAGATGCAAAAAGATGTGGCATCTGGCATGCCTTTGCGGACTCCAGGTGCAGTAACTGCTAATGGAAGTGTTTCACCAGAGAAGTCTGCTGATAGGACAATGGACATGCAGGAATTGAAGGATTCCATTGAGGAAACAAAGGTATCAATTATGTGATACTCTCTCTCTCTCTCTCTCTCTCTCTCCCCAGTTTGTTTGTATGGTCTAACTTGTATCTAACTGAGTGGAAGATATTATTGAACAAGTACTGCAGATAGTTGCTGCTGATCGTCTTTCTGAGCTCGAAGATGCACAGCAGGACAACATCAACTTGTCAAAACAATTGCAAAATCTTCAGGTTTTTTAATTAGAATTACGCGCATGAGTTTGATTTTTTCTTTTTGTCTCAAACACTTGTCTTATTGTTTTTATTTTTGGTACATTTTATAATCTAACTTTTGATATTGTGTTTGTACAGAATGATGTGAATGACGACAAATATATATACTCGTCTCGACAGTATAATTTAATCAATGATCAACTCCAACATTGGAATGTTGAGTTGGAACGATACAAAGCATTCACAGATTCTTTGCAGGTTAAACTGCTATGTTTTGGTTTCCATTATTTTGGCATGCTGTGTTTTGGTACTGGCTTCTCGTCGCTAAAAGTTTGATTTCAGATTGACAGGTCTTTTGTTGTAAGAAGGGAGAAGGAATTGAATGTAAGAGTAGAGTCAGCAGATGCTGCTAGGAGCACCATTGATGATTCTGAATCTAGAATTGAACAGCTAGAGCATCAGCTGCAGAAGTGTATGATTGAAAAAAATGATCTTGAGATGAAAATGGAAGAAGCTGTTCAGGATTCAGGTATTTGTTTTGCTAGTTTCTCTTTCAGGTGCATTCTAGTAGAGCTTCTGGTTTTTCAATGCTTTTATTATTCCAGGGAGAAACGATATTAAAATGGAGTTTCGTGTAATGGCGTCGGCTTTGTCTAAGGAAATGGGGATGATGGAAGCTCAGCTGAATCGATGGAAGGAAACTGCCGATGAAGCCCTTTCCTTGCGTGATGAAGCACAATCACTAAAAGCTTCCTTAAGTACTAAGGTTGCTTCTCATCCCTTTCATATATATATATATATATATATAAGTAGTAATCCTCACGTTTGTTATTCCTATCGTTAGTCATTTTTGTTTACTTAGTAAATTACATCAACCCTTTGAGGAACTATTTTTAAATGATTGATATGCTTAATGGTTTTCTAATTTGTTACTTGACTCCATTTTCGAGGTTATGACGTGTTTCCCCCAAGGNTAGTAATCCTCACGTTTGTTATTCCTATCGTTAGTCATTCTTATTTACTTAGTAAATTACATCAACCCTTTGACGAACTATTTTTAAATGATTGATATGCTCAATGGTTTTCTAATTTGTTACTTCACTCCATTTTCGAGGTTAAGTTATGATATGTTTCCCCCAAGGCTAATTCCAATTTTGTTACAAAAACCATGCTGTCATTAAATTTTTTGTTCAAAAACTGTCTCACCTCTATAAATCAAATCACAGGTAAATATAAAAGATATTCATAAAACAAACTCAAAAGTTAAAAAATAAATGAGGAAAAAAAAAAAAACCTAATCTTGTCATCAAAACTTCTCTTCTCCTTCTTGTCTTCTTTTTCATCTCTATGGCTGTGTCTTTATCTCCCAGAATCCTGTGCAAATGAACTGTAAATCATCACACTTGAAAGCCCAAAAGCTAAATATTAAAGAAGCAAAACCCACCAGCCATTATTCGTTATCACACCCGTTCAAACTACCACCATTTCTTTTGTCACTGTTTCTCTTTAACTTTAACCCTTCTAAAATGCATTCTTTTTTCGTTCAAGTCAACAAAGTGAAAGTTTGCAATGCTGCTTGTTAATTTTAAATTTACTAATAGTACATCTCCATATTTGTTATGAGACTACAACGAGTGAATTCTGCTTGCTGATATTTGCCAGTTTTTTGTTGTTGGTATAGACGCATGAGCAGAGGTGTTTGGAAGACAAATGTGCAGAGCAGATGGTAGAAATCAAATCTCTGAAGGCTCTGGTAAGTTTGTCTCTTCTTATGTTAATTTTAATTGTCTTGACTTCCTACGCATTAGATGTAGGTTCCTTTCATGAATATTTGAAAATAGGATTGTCAGACCTTTTTTCAGATTGCTTGGATCTGAATACCTAGGTCAATTTAAACCCTGTGAAGTGTTTATCATCTAGTTTGGTTCAAATTTTGTCACGTTTAATTTTTCTTCTTCCTCTTGAGAAAGGAAAATTCCGTAATAAAAAACAAGAAAGCATAAATGACTAATGTTCTTGATTGCTATCATCCAATTTTTTGTGGAACACATGTAAAAGGACAGCCGGAACTTAGGGCCCATATATTAGTTGAAGAATCCATGTAAAAATAAGTTAACAAATATAACAATTGAAAGCTTGAGATATATTTTAAACATGTCAGAACTTAGGGCCCATAATGTCTAGTGACCCTGTTCCACATGAAATATGATAACTTTGAAGCTCTTATGATTATCACTTAGTATTTGTTGCTGACTGGGATTTTTGTCTTGCAGATTGAAAAGTTGCAAAAGGAAAAACTGGAATTGCAAATTATCTTGGACATGTATGGCCAGGAAGGTTATGATAACAGGTAAATTGATCTGAGGGCCCCATGCTATGAGGAAAAAAAGACGGAAAGTAAAAAATAGAGGAGAAAGAAGAAATAATTTGACCATTATATATTTGTTGCGTTGCATTCTAATTTCTGATTTTGTACAAGAGTAGAACACTGGAAAGACTTATGAAACTAACAATATGATAGTTTACTAGTCTGTCAAGGGATTTTGGGATGTGTTTCATTAGAATCTTACTATTAATTGAATTTTTTGGGCCATTTTAATTTAGTAATTTGTTTATGTTTTTCCACTTGTTGCCTTGTTTTGCATATGGTTGCTTAAGGCTTTTTGTCTCTTATTATACTTAACTTTCAAACTTTGAACTTCAGAGATGTGGCTGAGATAAAAGAATCTGAACGTCGAGCTAATTCACAAGCTGAAGTCTTAAAAAGTGCCTTGGATGAACATAGTCTGGAATTGAGGGTGAAAGCTGCTAATGAGGCTGAGGCTGCTTGCCAACAAAGGCTTTCAGTTGCTGAAGCTGAAATAGCTGAACTAAGGGCTAAACTGGATGTTTCTGAGAGGTTCATCTTCACTCTTGTTTCTTTATAAATAATCATGCACATCTGTTAGCTTTTGGGTTTTCCATGGTAATAGCTGAATTGAGAAGAAAAATGGGAACTCGTCTGCTTCTATTGTCAATTTATTATATGTATATTTCTTGTAAATATATAAAAATAGTGACAGTAGTTAGAAACTTCATTATCATTTAAGAACGCATTGTTTTCAATTTCTTGAGAGAGACATGCTTTATTCCACTGAGAGTCATGAATTTCTCCTTTATGATGGCTGAGAAAGGGGATTGATTTTCCTTCCATCTCCCAAGAATTTAAATATGTATTTAATTTAGACAATGTAATGTCTACTGCACCTAGTTCAGAGCCTGTAAATACAAAGATATACAAATTTTGCATCAATTAAAATTTAAGCAAGTGTGTACGTTTTTCAGTTAAGGTGGACTTGATAATTCATTTCTGTGATTTATCTGGGTAATGTAATTGCTCCTTGCTCTGAGGGTTATCTAGTTGTTTTTGACATTAAAATCAGTTCATGGCACTCAATTACTTTTGGAATGTATGCATTGATGGTAAAACGACTTGGTGCCTACTTAAGCTGGATTAGTGCACAAGTAATATTGAGATAACTGTAATGAATTATAGGTTTATCATTTAGTACCTCTATTGCTCTAAGTGCTATTGCACTGGCCGTGGGCTTGTGTGATACCTATGCAAGTGTCCACACTGGATAGTTGATTCAGTCTAACCTATGAGAAGTTTTATTCTCTTAAAGTGATCAATAAAAAAATTTCCTTCTGCCTGTTAGCATCTGATTGTGGCCAAGTAGCCAAATGTCACACAAACTTTTGGCATTCACCTCTTTCCCATCTTTGGAAAATCCCATATGTCCTCCCTAAGTGGCATCATTCGATAAATCATTATAAAAGTGGATGAAAAACATGGCTGCAAAGGTCTTCTTGTATTTGTTTGAGTTAGTTCAACTTCAATTGTATTTTTGCATGTTTTAAACAATTGAAGGACATATGGAAGCCACTTTTCCTCTTAACAACGAAATTCTATCTCTCTCCCTTGCAGGGATGTTATGGAGCTTACAGAGGCTATTAAAAGCAAAGATAAGGAAGCAGAGGCATACATTTCTGAAATTGAGGTTATTACTTTTCAAAACACTTGCCCCCTTTTTTATATGGAGAAGGGTTTTTCCTGGTGTCGGGGGGAGGGGTGTATTTACTGCAGCTTTGGTTCCTTGGTGGCACTTGCCACCATTTTTTATTTTTTATTTTTTTTTTTTAAAATCAAAATATATGTATTCTTTCTGCTCAATGACTGGATTCTTTTATTTCCAGACCATTGGTCAAGCATATGAAGACATGCAGACCCAGAACCAGCATTTGCTGCTGCAGGTGACTGAAAGGGATGACTACAACATCAAGGTCTGACCTATGCCGTGATTTTGTTCTACAATCTTCATTCTTTGTTTTTTGTTACATTTTTTGATGTTTCAACTGGTTGTCCTGATTTAAATGGCTCATGGGCTATGTGATTTATGATGCAGCTTGTTTCTGAGAGCGTCAAAACAAAGCAGGCACAAGGCTTTCTAATCTCTGAGAAGCAGGCATCAGTGAAGCAACTTCAACAAGTTAATGGACTTGTAGAATCTTTAAAATTAAGGATTCTCCACAGTGAAGAGCAGGTTTACTTTCTTTACACTCTGCGGAAAAGTGTGCTGTTTGGTTATTTTGTTCCCTTCTTATCTTTTGTGAACTGATTTCAAATCTTTCAGATGAAAGCCTGTCTGACAGAGGCTCTGAAATCTACTCAAGAAGACAGACATCTTACAATCAGCCTTGAAACAGCAAGGTGGGAATTGGCTGATGCTGAGAAGGATTTGAAGTGGCTGAAATCTGCTGTTACTTCTTCTGAGAAGGAACATGAGCAGATCCAGCGGAAGTTAAATGACATCCAAAAAGAACTGGATGAAGAAAGGTGAGTTTTTTCCTTAATATTGATTGTCATATGTCATGCGTATGTCATGTATCGTTAAGCAAATTGTATTTACATTTGTAGTTAGATTGTAGGATAAAGATAAGGACAAAGGTAAAAAATTTGTGACATTGATTTTGTGATGCCATTTGTTGAGAAGTGTGATTTTTTATCCCCACAATAGATACCAAATTCCAATTCGGCTGCTCATGAAGTTATTTGTGCTTCCCTAAAATACTGTTGCGGTAGAATTAACATGGCAGATATATTTTTTTTTTTTTGCTTGCCATTTTGTGTTCACCAGAAGAGAGAGGATGAAGCTTGAGGAAGATCTCATGGAATTGAATAACAAGGTTGACGAATTGACTTCTGAAACTGGAGAGGCAGCAATACAGAAACTTAGGGATGAAATAAAAGATTGCAAAGCTATTCTCAAGTGTGGTGTGTGTTTTGACCGCCCGAAGGAGGTTAGTATGCATGCAAGCTTGTACATAATTCCTTGTTGCAGTTGAACATTATATTCTTATTCATTGCTATGATTCTAATAAAAATATTAGAGTCACCATTTTTCTGGTTTTGTATCGATGAACTGATGGATGTGTACTTGTGCTAATATTTATCAGGTCGTGATTGTGAAATGCTATCACCTCTTCTGCAATCCATGTATCCAAAGAAACTTAGAGATACGGCATCGGAAGTGCCCCGGGTGTGGAACTGCTTTCGGTCAGAATGATGTCCGGCTTGTAAAGATATGACTTAACTTTCCCATGTGTTTTGTAGTTTAACTTTGGTCATAGCTAGCTCCGCATTTTGTTATCACCTTTAGCCCGAGCTTGGCATGTCCTTTGATGTTAGGCTCCCTTGTACAATAGAAATAATATTCTTTTTTTNCGTGATTGTGAAATGCTATCACCTCTTCTGCAATCCATGTATCCAAAGAAACTTAGAGATACGGCATCGGAAGTGCCCCGGGTGTGGAACTGCTTTCGGTCAGAATGATGTCCGGCTTGTAAAGATATGACTTAACTTTCCCATGTGTTTTGTAGTTAACTTTGGTCATAGCTAGCTCCGCATTTTGTTATTACCTTAGCCCGAGCTTGGCATGTCCTTTGATGTTAGGCTCCCTTGTACAATAGAAATAATATTCTTTTTTTTCTTTTTGGTCGTTTTTATGTAACTACGCTTCTTGTATTTATAAACAAAATAAGAAATTTATTTTACAAAAAAACTAGCATCTTTAGAAATTTGGCCATATTTGGTTGTTTGTACTTTGTTGTACAAGAATGTTCAATTTGTGAATAGGTTACTGGTTTGTAATGTGCTGTGTTCTTTGTTCAACCTCTTATTTGTAACTTTTATAGATAGACTTGTAAAGTGCAACATTTCAAGAGTTAATATATTGATTGCATTGTTTTAAAACTCCAATCGGAGGGCAACCTGTTTTGCTGCCCGGATCACGAGTCAAATGGTCCAACCGGTTGGACCGATGAAACAGCGACAATTTTGAGTCCGTTTGGTTCATTATTCTGATAGTTTTTGGAATAATATTTTGAAAAAAGTTAAATGTGGCGGATATTATGATGTAGGATTTGAAAATTAGCAAAAATATATTTTATGTTTGTTTATTTACTAAACACCCCTATAATAAAATATTAGAAGTTAATAAAAACACCCCCAATCCACCCATTAAATACAGACAGTCGGCCACCACCGTCGGAGGGTGGTCGAAGTGTTTTTACAATTTCTAAAAAAAATATTTGGGAGTATTTATTTAAATTAACAAATTTAGAGGGGTTTAAAAGAAAATAAAAAATATAGAATAATATTTTGGGAATAATGACATTTTACTGTTTTAACTTTTTTGGGAATAGCATAATAAACAAGGCTTTATTTTTAAAAAATTACATATTAATCCTTTAAATTTAATATATTACAAAAAATTTCCTAAAAAGTTCAATTAGTCCCTATAATTTTTATTTATTTAAAAATACCCTAAAAAATTACCAATTAATCCCTAAACTTTTGATATATATCCAAAACACCCTTATAAAATTACAAGTTAACCCTTATAATTTTGAAATATTATAAAAACTCCCCTAAGACCTGAACCAGGATGGAGAAGCTGTCAGGTCCTGGTCCGGTCCAGTTTTTAAAACAGAGATCGATCGTTGAAGTTCTCGAAAGAACACAAATTTAGTAAGCCGATAGAGCTTGCCCTATCATGAGTTGAAGAATACTAACCAAATTGTCCATATGGTGTAATGGTAGGGAGAGTTGTGTTATTTCTCTTAATGATAGAATTAATATGTAAAAATTGTCATTATGGGTTGATTTTTATATGAAGAAAGAAGCAAAATGGTTGATTCCCATGTCCCACCAGAAGATATTACTTGGAATGGATAAGATGATGGAGCAGAAGATTTCACTATTATAACACTTGTCTATCCATTAATGTTTTTAAATATTTGGAGTGGGCTCTTATCCTTTTCAAATCCTCATTTTGTGACAATTGATTGAATTTCAGCGAACAGATTATTGCAATAAAGTGATAAAACATGCTCAAAACTTTTTTCTTATTCAAAATTAGTACATTTTGGTAGACTTTGGTCATTGTATATATGACAATTCGTAATTAATTTTAATTAAATGATTATATCATGTTAGAGGAATATAACATTTTTGTTAAGTTATATAAAAATAATATATTTTTAGAACTAAAAATTATATATCTAACTTGCAACGACGGAAGACATACTCTTATATATTTATTTTTTTTTTAAATGAAGATAGAACTATTTATCTAAATTATATATTTTCGTTATCTTCTCTTTTCTTGCTTATTCTAAACGAAGTCGTTTAATCCTTTAGTCCTGACATAAACTCATCTCTTGTTCAGCCTTTCACTCACTTTCTCCCACATTCATTTTCCGAGCAAAACAAAGCAATGCAAATGCAAGTCATAACCAATCTAATCACTTCTTCTTCCCCATTTCAACACCAGAGCCACTTCAACAATCTCCTCCCCAAATCTCTTTTCCCCTCTCAGCCTCCAAACCCTCCGAAAATTACTCTTTTACCCCCACAAAACACCCCAGAAAACCAGCCCAAAAACCTCACAAAAACAACCACCATCATGCTTCTTTGCTTGAAGCTCAGTCTTGTGGGTCGGTAGACTTTGTGTCTACTATGCTCTCTTGAAGGCTGGCTTAGCTGGATCTCAAGATAACCCTTTTGTTTTGGTAGGTTGGATCATTCTTCAGTCTAAGTTCTTTTTTTTTTTTTTTTTTTTTTTTAATGTTTGATTGTTGATTTTTTTTTTAAGGGTTAGAAGTGGTGGTGTTACTGTCAGTGAATCTGGTGATTTGGGGTCTCTAAGTGGTTAGAGAACATACAAGGCAAACCAGGTTTGTGGCTTTCTTTACTTGTGTATTTAGTTGATTGATCATTTTAAATGCTGCGTTCCGGGTGGGAATCGCCGGTATTGTTACTGTAAGTAGGCTGATTTAGCATTGCTGAGTAATAATAGAAACATTCAATGTCAAGTAGGAATAAAATAGAATTTTACTTCTTTACTTGTGTATTATTTTAGGTAGCGTGAGTGCCATGGTACCGGTACAGGAATAGCGGGTATGTACTGTAAGTAGCTGATTTAAGCATTATTAAGATTGTAATGGTAACATCAATGTCAAAGTTGTGATAAAATATGATTTTTACTTCTACCTGCATATCTTCTTCAACCATTGTGAATGCTATGGTTCTGGGATGGGATGGCTGGTATTGTAAATGTAAGTTGGTGGTTTTAGCACTTTTAACATTATATTAGTAACATTCAATGTCAAAGTTGTAACAGAATATGAAATTTCCTTCTTTAGTTGCTCATTTACTTTAATCATGTAAATGGTTTGGTATTGGGATGAGAATCCCTGTTATCGTTACTGTAACTGGTTTTAGTCAATTTAACATTATAAGAGTAACATTATATGTCAAAGTAGTAGCACTATGGAATTTATACACACGTGATTGGTAAATATTACTTTTTTCGTGTTTTAACTGGCCTGATAATGCTACTTTTTTGTTGACTTTGATTTAATGAATTGTTGTCTGAAAATCGTTGTGGAGCTTGTTGCTAATCTATACCCTATGTTACATATGCGAGCTTTTTTTTTTTTAGTTTGCTGCAATTTGTTAGCTTTTAAAGTGACTAAAAGTAATTTCTAACCTAGAAGTAATGGCTTTGCAATAGTGGCATTGAAGAGGTTTAAAGAAATAGGTTTGAGTAAATCTCTGTGATATTGTATTTGCAAAGATTTTTAGTTGATTTCTAGATTCTTCTGATGTTTAATGTGGAATATATGTTATTGGTTGATAACTTTTTAAGCATAACATTTAAATGGGTATTTCCGTTGAACTTGTTTCTAACTTTTTATATTAACGGATTGCAAATTTTGAAAATAGAATGTTGTTGATACCTAAAACATTGAATTGTGACAATCAACAAAGATGTGATTTTGAAGTGCCTTACACATTAAAGAAATGTTGCAATCCTAGTTCTTGAGCTCAATGATTTTTGGATTGCCGGCTACCTTAGATAATCTGGATTATCATCACAATGTAACCGAGTATGTTCGCTTATCTATTGTTTTGTTCTTGGCCTGTTATCTACAATGAGGAGCATTTTTAAATTCCCGATGTTGAATCTTTTAATTCAAACATTATCTGGTCAGTCATTGTGGTGCTTATGACTTTGCCTCTGTTATGTGCTTCTTTTCATATTCTTTCCTGATTTGTGTTCAATCACAAAGACAGAAGAGAAACCATATATATTAGATAGTTATCTTCATATCAGAGGTTCACACTTCAAATCATTAATAACTTGTTCTGGGTCAAGCAATTCCTCTGAATTGAAGTTGTACTAATTAATTTTGGTTTTCTTAAGTCTTTCTAAGCATTTTTATTTCATCCACTCTCAACAAATTTGTTAATGATTTACATTTTGGTTGAAAGTATATATTTCTCTTTAATGGGATTGTTCTTTCTGTTTCATCAGACAAGGAAGCAGCTGACAAAAGGAAATTGGTGAGTAAATGGCATCCTACAACAAAGGGTACATTAAGAAGGAACTACAGGGTGCCTTCCAAATCTGAGGGACGCCGCCTTCTCAAAGCTATTGCATCCTTACTATCCGATGATGATCACTTCACAGAAAGCACTTCTCACAAAGTAATAAGACCTCAGATAACTGACATATACCTTTTCTGAATCCATTGGGAATAAAAATTATAAGAATGGCTTACAATGGGCATTAGCTCACAGAATTTCTTTGCTGTTTGTAGGGTTGTCAAATTCGGAGGGAGAGTGCTCACGGTGAAAGCTTGTGCTGCCACAATGTGAGGGCTCTTTTTGATGAACTCCCAACTCCTCATCTTATTGTTGAAATTACAGCATTTCCAGCTGGACCTCTCACAGAAAGGGATTACGTCAAGGCTGAGAAACTAGAAACGGTGCTCAGGTCTGGTCCTTCGATTTGAATCATCTGAAAATCTAATGGTCAACTTTTGTATGTATCCAATGCACTTGTACAGATTAGAATCAGAGACAGAAACTTCTTATGTTGTTCTCTTGCTTCGACAATTCAGCTTCATTCTTACTGGGGTATTTTTTCCTTGTCTGTTTGATGTGAGTGTGTGATATGGTTAAAACTCAACACATGTTTGAGAATGTTTGATTTGGGAAAAGCCCCAAGCTTGAGGAAAAATAAAGATGGAATGGACTGAATACAACATCATTGATTGAAAAACTCAATAGTAAGTTGATATATGTTTGCTCAACTATATCTAGATGTTTTAGTTCGAATTTTCGGATTGGGGTTGCTATTCTTTCATTGCATGATTAACAACAGGCTGGCTAGAGGGCATTTGATTGAATGATTTTACTGTCTCACCGATCATCAACTGTGTAGAAGTCATTATAGATAGTATAACATAGAACAAACCGTGTTATGTTCATTGGCCATGATGATTGTGCAGATATCTCTTCTATGCTATATGCATTACCTCAAGAATGTGGTTTCTCCCCTAGGCCCTATCCTGTGTATGCATCTCCTGAACTTGTGCCCCCCAAACCGTGTTCATGGTGCGGCGGTCGTTTCACTTGCAACAGGAAACATCAGCAGATCAGCACAAATTCGGCAGCTCCAAATTGTGCTCATAAGATCATATCATATGCCATTTTCTAGTTTGATAATGAAAATCATTTTGCACTTTTGAGTGATGTTTAAACAAATGCCTAGAAATGTGATGCCAAATGGAGGGAAAACAGAAGAAATACACAAAAGGAACATGAGATAAAAGACACGCAAAGATTGGCACAATGTGCTTACTAATTTCAATTTCTTGTTCTATCATAGAGGACATGACAGTTGCCTAAATCTAACTAGGACATTTGATTGATTTTTATAATGTTTATATGAACATTTGAAACATACAAGAAAAATGGATATGGCCATTCATGATGGAGTCTTTATTTTAGATGGGGCAAATTTAAACGCCCAAGGATTTGGTTTCATTGAAATGGGGTTTCAGCTGCTTTGTTCATATAAATTATTTATCTCATCATTTCACCATTACAAGGTTAACAAATCAACTGCCGTATCATTGGAGACAAGATTGAAACAAATTTTGTATTTGTAATATTATAGTTAAAAACAAAACGCAAGCTTCCCATAGGATAATCAGCATATGCAAACTATTGAGAATCAGTAATCGAGGATGAAATATGTATTAAATCTACTAAAAGAAACCACAACTTCCGAAACATGCAAGTAATTAATAGAGCACTACAAAATATGATTTAGCTGACTCTTGTGGGTTCTATCAATCAATTCAGTTTAGCCAACGCAATACCATATCATTTCACTCCAACTGAAGCCATCAGATCTTCGTACTCTGGATCATTCTCCTGTTTTCTGGCCATTGCTGGATTCGCTCCCTGCTGTTGAGGTGGAATAGACGCAGTAGGAGAAAATGGATCATAAATCTGCGGTCCACGAGGACTTGGTGCCAGCTTATCGGATGTAAAGGGGCGATCGTTTCCAAACTGTTGAATTAGACCTATGTGATTCTGATGTCGATTTGCTGGTGCTGGATAATTCTGCTGAAGCTGCAAAGGATTTCCTGGCCTAGGAGGGAAAGGACCAGCCAAATTGGGCACTTGCAGACCGGTACCAAAGTTCCTTGGTCTCATTTGAGAAACTGGAGTTGTAGGAGCAACAGGACTTACATTTGCAAATGCTGCATTTGGGTTTCTGGCAAACATAGGAGCCTGAGGTTGACCCATCTGGTTGCCAACCTGTGGCCGAGGAAAACCTTGCATGACAGGTTGAGCAGTCGCACTAGGACCAGTCAACCGAAAAGATGGAGCTTGAGGGCTTGGCAGTTGCATCATTGGTCTATGGGGTGGAGTATTCATCATCATTGGCTGACTGCTTGGCCTGGGAACTGTTAAAGGGGCTAGATTCTGTGGCTGGTGAGGTAGAAAAGTAAAATCACCAGAACCTGGGAGTTGAGGTCTTGAAGGTGTTCCGGAGGCTTGATTTATAGTAGAAAAGTTTGGTGGTGATATTGATGGCCCTGATGAAGCTGCCATTGGCACCAATGGTGAAGATTGCATAGGACCAGAAGCAGGAAATGCCGGAGAAGATCCCACTCGTGGCGGAGGACCAGAAGGAAAAAATGGTCCTGCAGGACGATTTAGGGCTGTGCTGGATGGCCCAGATGGAAAAGAAGGAGAAGCCATATTGCGTGCTGACATATTTGGAAGAGCATTAGCTGCAACACCTGGTCGTGAAACTCCGGGACGAAGACCCTGGGGAGGAACCATTACTGGAGCCATTTGTCCCATGTTGCTTGAACCTAAAGATGCTGCAGCACCTGCAGGAACTCCTGACCATCCAGATGAGCTCCCTGTAGGAGTCAATAGCCTGTCAGGTAGTGGTCTTGGTGGAATACTTGACACAGCTTGAGGCAATGAAGGGATTAAAGATCTTCCTTGTAGTTGAGCAGATGAAGGCTGAGATGGCATTGGAAAACTACTAGATGGACCAGCATGACCCAAAGGATGGATCTGACGCATATATGGATGGGGAGGAACTTGCATTGGCGGTAGTGAATTTTGGGGGACAAGAGGCAAATTTGGGAAAGTTGAAGTGAAACCAGCTGGTCGAGGCCCAAATAGTGAAGGCATGTTCACAGGATTGGTGGAAATGGGTGCTGAAGAATTCAGAGGATGCATTGGAGTTTGAGGTGGACCTGATGGGAACCATGGACTTTGGTATTGAAACTGACCTTGTACAGGAGTTTGCATAGGTCCAATCACAGGTGCTAATCCCTGATTTACAGCAGCACTAGGGATCACAAATGGGTTACCTTCATCCTGCCCTTGACTAAGAGCATTGGCATTTTCCCTCGAAACCAAAGTAGATGTTGAAATAGCAGCTAAATTTTCCTGCATAAAGGTTATAATAATATTCATAAAAAGAAGAGTGACTGTAGTACAATAACAACAGCAACATAACCAAGATACGAGAAAACTTGCTATGAAATCTAACTGAACAATCATAAGTAAATAGATTTCTTCTCCTAAGGAATGCACTTACTGATACTGAATTGACTAGCAATTCAATAAGGTCAGCTGCTGCATCAACTTTTTCATATGTGTCAGCTGAGATATTAATATACAACTCTTCAAATGTACTCTGGACATTCCCATCAGATGGTGATATTTCAACCTGGAATGAAGAAGGTAAAGAACAGAGAAACACAAGATTCCATGCCAACATTCTCCTAAATCCAGAAGCATCTATTTCAACCTCATTTTTGTTTTGAACACAATAAATTTAAAATATTACTATGAGAATTAGGAAATAAAATGTTCAAGAGTGTTTAGATAGTGATATCCTCCTAAAAGATGAGTAAATTACCTTCTCTCCTGTATCTGCCTTGGTGCCATAAACTTGTATTATTGTTCCAGTTTCCTAATTTGCAAAAAGATACATACATGATTCAGAAAATATATATATAAAACCCTAACATAGAAATTACTAGTTTGATCATTTAAGCAGTATTGCAAACTGATAACTCACCAGTGCAGGGACACATAGTAGTATGAGCAAAACTATTTACCTTTTCTAATCGCTTCTGAGTATCACTTGCAGGTCCAAATATTAGACCAAGAAAATTGTATCCTTGATATTCTTTTACCTGCTTTGGTAAAAACCGACAGAGTTGCATCAGAAACCATTACTTTATGACTCATGCACATTCATCACACACACTCTATATTATTAAACAACTTGTACAAGCACACTTAGATTTGTTACAGCTAGTATTGTAATTATACATCATATCAGGTTCTGCAATGATAAAATATAACAAGGATGAAAAAATTTCGGGCATTTGAATTTTCCAAACAAAGCAACCATGCATAATAGGAACAAATATTTACATGTGTAAATCATTTTGAATAACTAAAAACCTCCAACAAGAATATAAAAACCTATTTATATTCTAACCCTTCAACCCAAATAGGATCCAAGTTTGGCATGCCAAAAGTGTACATCTTCTAATGTCTTGTTTAAGGTACACGACTTTCATTCTTTCCCAAGGGTAATTTTGGTTAAGTAGTAATGGACAAACTAGCACCTTTTGTTTCACCCACTTTGAAACAGCTATGCTTTAAAATTTTCTCACACAACTTTTCTTCTTTCTAATATTTTTTTTATAAAATCCAGCTCCACTTATTAAAACTATACCTTAACCTAATGCTACAGACGGCATAATTGCTTTTTCAGAAATATTCCATTTCATGCTCAGAAAATTTTCAGTAAAATGTTAGCCGATGAGCATTTCATTCTTGAAATTAATATATGAAAATGATTAAATCAAGCACAGAATGAATGTCGACATCACACTTGACTTACAGGGATGGGAACTATTGCCTCTTTCAACAAAGGTTTATAATCTGGTGGGATCTTGTAGCTTGGATTCAATCTTAGAATCTCACCTGGAAATTTAAGCAAAAAGATAACGACTTCATACAGAAAAAGGAAAAAAAGAAAAAGAATGTATTATATGGAAAAGCTGTTAAACATACCAATAACTTCCTGCTTCTCGATTTCCAAAAGTTTTAACTTCTACATTGATAAATATTGTTGCAAGTTCAGAAAACCAGATAATAATTAAAATGAAAATAATGAAACCCAAATCTAGCAATAAGGTAGAATGCAGTATCAACTATAATTGTACCTCACTATCAGCTTGAGGATTTGAAGACTTTTGATCATCATGCTGGTCAGCTAATTGTAAATCTTGATTGTCCTCTACATCTGGAACTCCCAATTTCAGCTGTTGCGCAATTTGATCAACCCGAGTCTGCCCAAGGCAGTAATATCACTTAGTGGCACCTGGAACGGGAAGCCTCCATGTGAATGTGACCCATTCACATGGAAGACACTGACATTTTAGCACCCAATGGGAAAAGGGAAATCTTTAATTGCCACCAGCTGAGCAATATACAAATTCCTCCCACAGAGCGGGGCTCTTAATGCCCCCAACCCACTAAATTTTCACTACATTTAACTCTAATGGAAAAGAAAATCCTACAAATTTGACATTTCAAAGACCAAATTCAAAAGAGTGCAGCATATGAGCAAAGATATTCTGATTAAACTTAACATCAACAATCTAAGGAAGTCAAAGAGTATCAATTACAATAAGAAATAACTAGAGAGTCTTAGGATCCTTTTGAAGGTTCTTAAGATAAAAATATCATCTAGCAGCGTTTCTCTAAACTCAAAAAAAGCCCTACTCTAAATGTCAGAAAAAAAGATAGCCAAAAGCTCGCTTTTGAACCTGAACTACCACCATAATTACTACCAAATTTATAACTTAATTATCCCATGTTCAATACCAAAAATATATGAAAAAATAAATATAGCATCTTGTGATGTGCTTGACACTACTACTTTGCATCCTAACCTCTCAGTTCAATGGTACATTTCCATGAAGCACTTCCAAGTACTTCACCAAACTTAAAAAAAAAAAAAAAAAAAAAACAAGCACTAGCATTTAACATTTATAACTAAAATAAGGCCGTGTCCAGACGCCACTATTTTACCGGGAGCTTTAACAACCAGGCAATTCAAAGCTAATCACCTCCCGGAAATATCCCTTGAAAATCGTGTACCCAGTACTAATTTCACTTTCACAAATACAACCTGATCGTCACTGAAGCCGTGAGTAACAAAATATCACCAATTCCTATAACGGTACCAGGATTCACTCCCGGTAAAATGCGCATTTTTTTTTTCCTATAACATTACCGGCCCAGTAACATACCCATCCCCACAAAATCATATCCAATTACTAATTTCATTTCTAAAAACATGCCTCTATCATTAGCAACACCATCAGTTAACAAAAAAAAATAAAAAATTCCAGTAATAATACCGCGATTCACATACCGGCAACGTAACATTCTTCTTAAAAGACCAATTTTTTCTTTTTTCTAAAAAATTCCCAAACACGGCCTTAAAATACCTGATAAGCCAACAATCTTCCCCTTCTAACGCCGGCGTCCTCCGTTAGATCAGGTACCCATTTGGTCTTTCTCTGAGCCTTGCTCACACTTTTTTCTTCATGACCGTACTGTCGACATCGTTGCTTCCCGGTTTTTTCGCTCCTTTGAAGACTGGAACCAACGAACCGGCAACTTGTTCTTCGGAATCACGAAGCCGGCCTTCGCCCGCCGCCGCGAACTTCGAGACCTTCGCCGGAGCGGAGGAGGAGCTGTTGTAGTAGAAGACATGGTAGAGTAGGAGTGAGACTGGATGAGTGAGGAGAAAAGCTAGGGTTTTGTAGGTGACGAGTTAAAACGGTGACGTTGGCCGAGACAGATGCGTATTTGTTGAAAAAAAAGGAGCCAAGGCGAATAAAAAAATTTTGAAATGTGGTGTTGATTGGCCCAAAATTGGCCTTTGTAACTTTCTTAGATTCAACATCTCTCTTCTCTCTCTCTCTTTCTCTTTTTTTTTTTTTTTTTTTTATTTTGAAATAAGTTAATTATTATTAGACTTATATATTTAAGTAACTAAAATAAAAAAATTAAAAAGAATTTAATTGTCTTTTTCAACATGTATTACTTTTGTATGTTAGACCGAGTTTCAACCATCAAAGTATGTGAATCTGATAGCTAAATGAAAAATGATATCCTTACAAAAATAATACAAAGAGAGCTATAAAGTGACGTTAACAAGAAGGAAAAAACAAAAAAAAAAAGAGAGAGGGAGAGAGAAATCATGAAGATCAAGGATAGTAATTATCTTTATATGCCCCATTTGTATTTGTCTTTGTAAGACTAATATTGCTCTCTAAATTCTCATGTTAAAATTTGGATACAAAAAATGATACCTGGAAGTCTGGAACCATCCTTTAATTGTCACACACAAATTTGAAATTATAAAAAGAGTAAACAACTTTTTTCCACTAAATAATGTCTTAATGACACTTTCTTACCCACAGGCTTTTAAAATATTATTTTACTATCTAAATTTATATTCCGTTTCTGATTCTAATATTGTTACAACCTCACACCATCATCATTCTCTTTTTTTATCATCACTCACCAAGACCCCTCAAACCTCACTCCTGTCGACCCCGCCAATCGTCAATAATTAGGCGATTAGAGTTTGTACAACCGTCTCTCCCAAGTCAAATTCTGATTAATTTCAACCACCAAAATCCAACCTTCCACCACTAAAAGACTTATCGGCCTCCCCTCTTCAAAAACCCTATCAGTTTGGATCGAATTTGTTCTATATTTGTTGCCAGAATATAAATTTGAGAAGTAAAGTGGTATTTTAAAACTCTATGAGTGAGAAAGTGTAATTAAGACATTTTTTGGGTGAGAAAAAGTCCTTAACTCTTTATAAAAATAGATAAAAAAAAAATTGTTCATTACCAAAAAAAAAAAAAAAAAAAAAAAATTGAACTAATTATTAAGCCCCTTGATTAATATATTTAAATGGTTAAATCTTATCTCAATTGTGACATTTAAATTATGAATAAGGATAGTATGATAAACACTTCTCATAAACGCATCATGACACCTTACAAGTGGCTTGATTAAACAAGACCCATTGTTGGACAAACAGGACTCATATGAGCTGACCAATTACAAACTGACATACCGTATTTGTGAGAAAAGGTTAGTTAAACATGTTTGTCAGGATAGTATTATTCTTAAATTATGCATTAATTAAGCAAATAGCGTCCAAAATATCTTGATCATATAACTTTGTATCTGTAACATTACTCGCTTAAACAGTTAAATCACTCAGTTGCTCAATTGAAATTAATAAAGGGACACAAAATATTATACACATTCAAAGCTTTCACTGCCAAAAAAATGAATCAAAAGAATGAAAGATGACAAAACTAGGACCATTTTTTCTTCTTGGCTTGCTTCCTTCAGCCACCACTTCAAAATTTTTTACCAGGAAAGCAACCAGTGAGTTGCATTTGTGTTTTAGACGTAATCCTCTCGAAGAATTTTAGGGCAGCTCCCATGTTCAATAGTCTGTAGTCTGCCCGGGGGTGGCAAAAACAGGGAGAACTTGTTGGCAAGAGAGAAGTTCTCAGTTGGCACATCAAAAAGAGCTACCATTGAAGCTTTTATCAAGTAAAAGGGTAGAAGTTTGAAAAGAGTAAACTGCCAAGGAGGATGTAACCTGTACAATATGCCCAGATCAAATATCCCCATCTCTTACCTGTTCCAGGAGATACCATTAAATATGAAGCAAACCAGTAAAGCGAAGGGCTGGCTGACAAGAACCGCGTAGCAACCTGTCAATTTATAAAACATCAGAAATTTTGATACATAATAGCCATGTTTAACCATGTCTATGGCAAAACAGTAACAACCAAAGCAATTTTAACTAGCTCACTTCTAATTGATAATTGTTGTGGAAGAACCTTCCCATGCCACAAAAGTTTTGAGAATTTAGGAAGTCGTTCACTTTTCAAAAACCAAACAGTAGCATGTTCATTCTTAATATGGTAAGGTGAAACTATATTTTGTTTCACAAGCTTTTTCTTCTTTAAAGGGAATTGAGAATATAAAGAGCATTTAACCAACTACTTTGTTACTTCACAGTAACGAGTATAAGAATACATTAGTTGGCTGATAGCGATTTTTCTCCTACTTTAACATGAAAATCTGCACACTGTGTCTAACATTAAGTAATGCAGATTTAAATCCCTCCAATACAAAGCAATTGCTACCAGCAAATTCCTCATAAGGTTGACAATTTACGGAACAGAAATGAAATTTATAACCTTCTCATAAAGAAGAAAATGATAAGCCAATAAATGGACAAATGACAAGTCTCACCTGTACATGCATAACAAAAAACGCAGTGGCTACCATAAAACTCAATTGTAGAATAAATGGGAGAACGTAGACAGACAAATATCCTGAATTCACTGATGATCCATATTCTAGTGGAAGTACTGCAGGATTCCCTTCTCTATGAATTTGCTTTCTCTGTCTGAAATTCTGATTCCCTGCTCAAGATGGACAATTTGCTTAAAGAAAGTATCATTGTATTGCAATTGAAATGAAAAAAATAAAGACAGCTGTAAACACATCAACTAGTAAATCACAAGCCAATATCTGCTTGAAAGTAACACCTGTCTTAGAAGAGGGTTTCTCTGGAATGGTGGCACTTGCACTGTTTGATTGTGGGACTGTCTCTAAAGGAAAAGGCACAGGTGCAAAATCTTTTCCCTCTTTAAAAGCTTGAAATCCTAACAAGTAAACAAGCTTGGGCTGCGCCGTCACGTAATAGATAATTGAGCAAAGTGCCAAAGACAATATTGGTGATGCAAGAAGAAAGTTTGGCAGCTGTTTTAATTGGAAGTATTTCAAGAAACCTACTCCCCTGGCATCAAAGTGACCATCAACATAAGTAGAAAATCAACTTCTTTCATATATAAGAAAACAAATAGCAACATATGTGGTATTGGCAATATGGCCTGTAAGAAGAAAGTCCTAACATATACTGAAAGCTGGAAATGCAAAATCACTGAAACTGAGCAGATAATACAGCGCTCACCCTCTTCTGGATCAGAATCAACTCTTACATCCCATAAAAAAGGATTAAAGAAAAAAGAATCAAGCATGCTAGGAATCAGCTATTGATGATAAATATCAATGATGCTCCAAAAATACCACAACAAAAACATATTCTTAATATTTCCCTGAAGCAAGTATTCACAGGTAAAATGGTAACACATTAATCTATTAATACCAGTATGAAACCCAAAGTACAAGTATATATGATTGCTAAGTATAGCTTTTATCTAGAGCCATTAATACAAGAGAAAGGGATTAGGAGTTTAATAGATAGAAAACTGTTTTGAATAGTGAAAGATTACCAATAGTGGCTTTGAATAAAATTATAAAGCAAAGGTATTCTAGCTCTGCACCAAGGCCTCATTTCTTCTGGAGAACGGCCAAGACAGAGATTGTGGTAGCCGTATACTTGAAATGCAATGAACGGAATAAAGATACATACGCAACGTAATGCTCCACATATAAGAATCTGCATTGCCAACTGCCATCGAAAAAATAAATTACTAAAGAAATAATATCGTATTCTTAGATTGAATGCCTGTTATTCAACCCAAGATAGTAGGCAAAATGCATTGTCACATTGAATCAAACAACAAAATGAGATCAACTGCCAGGTGTTTGATACACGGGTTCTGACAAAACCACTTTTCTCCACAACTTTTTGTTATAAGCATCATAACCAAAACATGCCAAGAAGAAAATAAGATACTTACATAACCACGTTTTTTCACGAATAGAGCATCATAAGCCCAATACATGGTCTGAAAACAGAAATAGCCAGCATTAACCACTCCATTAGACCTTGCACAACTAGAGACAGCAAGGCAAATAACGGCAATATTGTTTGCACCAGACATTAAGTAGTACAATCCCCCAACTGAAAATAGAGCATATAAACTCTCTGAATATCTGCAATGCAGAAACAAGACAATTTTCAGATACAACTCATTTTGGACATCATATTTCTTTCCTTTTTCTACCAAGAAACTTCAACCTATCTTCAATAGCATCACAGTAAGCCCCAAACATTTGTCAACACCAATAAATAACACATATAACTACAGCTTATGAGTGTTGCATCACGTGCTAATCAAAAGCAGGATCTGAACTTAAAACTCATGCTATATTCAGTTTTTTATCACCATGTTCAGGCTTCTTTTTTCCTTTTTCTCTTTTCATTTCATCATTTTAGCATGGAAGCAAAGATGAGAACATTACATAGATGAATAAAATATGGAAGCTGGATTGAAGCAAAACAATATCGAAGCCCGCAATGCAACTTCAGGGTCCTTCAAGATCATAACTGAAAGCCTGTTAGAATCAGGAAGTAATTAAAACATAAATCATAAATTCTAAGCCAAAACCATCTTTCAAACTTAGAGTAATTTACCTGTAAAAGTAAACAGCAGCCAACAAGAAAGCAACATTACTAACAACATAACCAGATAGTGCCAACACTGCTCTGTATCCGAAAACACTGACCAAAGGTGCCAAAACTGTAACAAAACAACAATGTCATCCAACCCACCTAAGAAACAAATTTAAATACTACTATACCTACATGCAGATCCCGGTAACATTACAGGAATCAACTGTTTCAATAACTCAGGATTTTACCAGCGAAACATAAACTTTACACAGCATCATTGTGGTAACAACACTACACTACGGGCTGGCAACTTTAACAACACCATTATTAAATGTCACTACTTTCAAATATTAACTTCCCAGTAACGTTACCAACATGATTATTAAATGTCACTACTTTCAAACATTAACTGCCCAGTAACGTTAAAGGACTAGTACCCATCTCTGAACCAACAAGGGAAATGTCAGTATCATTACCGGGATCACCGTTTCAAGCAACACACAAAATCATTTTAGTACTGGGCACCAAAACATTAAATTCCCAAGTTTGAAACTTTATTACTGTGCGAAAGTAACTTAAACGAAACGAAAGAGACGGCATCCTTTTACCAGTGTGAGACAAGAGACGGATGCAAAGAGGTAGGAGGGGGAGGAAGGCGAAGGACTGTTCGTACTCGTAGCCACATTGGGCAATGCGGACGAAGTAGACGCTGTCCCAGACGACGCCGTTTTCGATGGCGGAACTGATTGGATTGTTTCTGGAGTGTTGCGGGGCCCCAGGATCGGCGAGGCAGTCGGGATTTAGAGAGGCGGAGGTGTCGTAGGGAGACAAAAGGGCGCGCCAAAGGATGGTTAGGGTCAAGAGGAGAAGTCTTGAGAGTGTTGCAAGCTTTAGGATTTGAGTTTCATGGTTGACTTTTACTGTTTTTGTCATTTTTTTATGAATTAGGGTTTGAGTTAGGGGATTGAATCGAAGAAGAAGAAACTAAAATGGAGTTTTTGGTTGTGTGAAGTCGAGGGTTCAGTTTGCGGGTTTGGTGTGAAACCGCTGGTTGATTTTGCGGGTTTATGTTTTGTGGAAATACTTTTACACCCCAAGGTTGTAAAATATAAGTGGCTCAATTTGATTTACATATTGGAAAACTAGAATAGTTTTCCCAAAAAAGTTAACACAAAATTTGTGTTTGTTTCACCTATTTTCAAAATAGTTTTTTAAATTATTCAATTTCCTTTAATCCTCCTAAATTTATTAATTTAATTAAACAATCCCTATGAAGAATTTTAAAAATTGACAAAAACACCCCAACAACCCAAATTTACGAGATTCCGACCACCACTGCCGAAAGCTGGTCAGAATCTGGTGTAATGGCACACTATCGGTTGAATATGGCCAGTAGTGCGTCGATCTAGCCTTTTCCGACCAGATTCACGTTGGATTTGACCAAAAAATGCCAGATCTACGGCTAAAGATCTGGCCATCAACGACCAGATCTTTGGCAGTAGACAGTCGTCAATGACAGCCAAGATATGGTCGTCGTTGACCATCAACCTTTGGCCGTCGTTGACAACCAAATGTGGTCAAATCTGGCTGCGATGGCCAGATCTAGCCGTAAATCTAGCCTTTTTCGATCAGATCCACGATGGATTTGGCTGGAAAAGGCCATATCGGCGCACGACCGACAAGATCGAGCCGGTCATACGCCGATACGGCAACTCCGGCCACCCTTCGACAGTGGTGGCCGCCTATCCGTATTTATGAGTGGATTGGAGGTATTTTTGTTAACTTTGAATATTTTATTATAGGGGTGTTTAGTAAATAAATAAATATAAGGGGTATTTATGTTAATTTTCAAAATTCTACATCGTAATACCTATCCAATTTAACTTTTTTCAAAAGATTATTCTAAAAACTACCCAATAATAAACCAAACGGAGCCTAAATCTCTCTTAAAGGGTTAATCCTGGTTCACAATGAAGTGATGAATTAATGGAAAATGTTGAAGTGATTATGGATCGAAAATCTTGAAAAAAAAATGTAAGAAAAACAACTAAAGAATTCCTAAATATTGTTGGTCATCGTTTCGTTGCAAGTTAATTGACTCTATCTCACTAATAGAATATAACGATAATCATAAACGATTTACTTACGGCGGACAATAAATTGGTTAACAATGTCATCGGCACTATAAAACTCAAGGTCCGTCGATTTATAAATTTAATATTATAGTGAGCTAGTTCAGTAATTTTACAATTTAATGACTTGTTCAGATGTATCAAGGCAATACCCATATGAAAAGTGAAAACTATATCCTTGTGATAATTTGATTTGATTGGATTGATAATGTTAATTAGTTTATAAAGTCTCAAATTAACCCAATTGCAAATATCACTAAAGCCTCTTTCTCCCTTTCTCCCAATAAATGCATGCAAATTACTCTAAAATGTCAACTTTATCCCTAAGGTTGTGTTTGGTTCGGGGTGATATAAGATTAATAATGTAATCTTTGTTTAATTTTTAAGATTCCCTCGTAATTTTTTATTACAAATAGTGTTTACTGTTGGTAATATTGAGGGTAATCAGATTACATTCCCAAGGGATGTTAATATAAGATTACCGAGATAATCTTAATTTTGATATTATTTTGTCCTTAATCTTTTATCATTTCGGACATATTTGCCCTCATATGTCTACCACATAATAATTACCCCAGACCCCCTACATTTGAGAATTTAGCTAAAACAACTCAGCCACAAAAAAGTTTAAAAGTTAACAAAATACCCTCAGTCACCCAAGATCACCGCCGACCGCTAGCCACTACCGCTGGCCGCCAGCAAAAGTGATCCCGTTGGTCTTACGCCGGTAAGGATGTTTTCGACCATGGATTTGTGATCTATGGCCGAAAACGACCAAATCTGGCAGTTTCACGGCCAAAGATGTGGGCGTGAAACGGCCATTATCACGACCAGATCTAGCCGTTTTTGGCCATGGATCTCGGATTAGGCCTTAACGACGTATGACCAGTTAGATCCAGCTGATCATGCACCATTATAGCGACTATCGGCAGTGGTGGCTGGTTGCCGACAGTGGCTTGGGGTGGATGGGGGTGATTTTGCTATAATTTAAAGTTTTATATGGCTGAGGTATTTTAGCAAAATTTCAAATATAGGGGTTAAAAGAAATAATTTAAAAAATAATAGAATAATATTATTATATTATTAATTTTATTGGAGGGTAATTTAGTAATCTACATAACATACCCATTCATTTTTTCTTAACCAAACATATTATTATAACATACCCACTAATTAATTTCAACAAACTAAACACATTTCTCTAAAGATTCTCTAATAATCTATCTTTCCAGTAATACAACATTCTCCAATAATACAACATTTTTTGAACTAAATGCAAGGTGAATTACATTGCAATAGGAAAAATATAATAAAAGATGTCATAACTTTTACTAGTTAAAAGTATTATCATGTGGCATTTAAGGGCAATACTACACTTACCAATCAAGCTACTGATTTTTACATACCGACTCACCTGCCCAATTACCCAAATCTCAAAATTTAACTCAATTCACATGAGTCAGTATGTCAAATCGGTAGTTTAATCGGTAACTCAAGCATTATTGGACATTTAATATGGCACAGATACTGCCATGCATGAATCCAATATTAAAAGTTGTACCAATATAACCTACCATAATATATAACATTTAATTTAAAGTTGTACCAATATTAAAAGTAGAGGACCCCATCTATTCCAATAGTTTAAAAACATTTTTTTATCAGCAATTCAGTATTCCAATAATCCTGATTTTAAACCTCTCTTAAGTTTTGTGTTAAGTGATTTAATTACGTTAAGCATAGAAATCGCAAGAATTTAACGATGTCGTGAACCAATTTAGGTTTGGGTTTCTCTTTTATTTGGTGGGATTTGCTTCCTCCTAAAATTGTTTTTTTTTTCTTGGTAACCGGGAGTGTCCAGACCAGCTTACATGCACCTCGACTAATCCTACCCAGAAGTTAACAATTAGGTAAACCTTCTAGTGATCACCCCTATTAGCAACCGAGTAAAATTGAACTCAAGATATCTTGAGTAATACACCCAAGAACAGTGTTTTGAAACCTGACCGGAGGTGTCACCCAACCAAGGGGCCAAGTCTTGTGTTGATCAGTCCCGATTAAACCGACGGTCTAACTGATGATCCAGCAATTTGAAATCTTGCAAACACACCCCTAAGAATCTTAGCAGTCCCTAAAAGTTTGAAATCTAGCAAATACACCCCTATAATCTGACCCAAATTTGATTTTTCCAACCAAATTCTGGCTAATTTCGATGTCCAAAATTCAATTCGACACCACCACCTAAACCACCATCCTCTTGTCTACAAAACCCTTCTAACCCCGAAACTTGGTAGCCCCCCGTTCGTCGGTCGTGACTCACGAATATCACCACGATTGAGTTGATTTTTTTGGCCAAATTCCGGCTGATTTTGACGTCCAAAATTCAATTCGATACCACCACATGAACCACCGTCCTCCCATCTACAAAACCCCTCTAACCCCGAAACTTGGTAGCCCCCTGTTTGCCGGTCATGACTCGCGAACACTGCTGTGATTGGGTTAATTTTTTCGAAATCTGGCTAATTTTGACGTCCAAAATTCAATCCGATATCACCACCTGAACCACCGACCTCTACTCTACAAAACCGATCCAACCTTGGCACTTGGTAGTCCCCCATTAGTCAGTCGTGACTTGTGCATTGGGTTGATTTTTCTGGCCAAATTCCGGTTGATTTCGGCATCCAAAATTCAATTCGACACCATCCCTTGGACCATCGGCCTTTATTCTACAAAACCCTCATTCGCTGACGGTCAGATTAGGGATTTTGTAAATAGTTAAAAATGGTAACCTGAACTGGAGAGGGTGTCGATCACCGGTTCAGTCACATTTTCAAAACACTGTCCAAGATTCCCTATCGCTCCACCCGACCACCTAGGGGTGATTCCTTCTCAAACTATTACCTTAGTTAGAAATGATTTTTTGGGTTTTTGAAATTTACTTTTCTTGTTCAATATAAATATAGATGATCAGAACAAAATTTAGAGGTGATATAAATTCATTAGTTAATACAAGTGATACGATACTCCCGTTATATTTTAAATTTTTTTTTTTTCTCTCTTTTTATATTATTTCTCTACATATTGATCACTTTCATTGAAGAAAAACAAATAATATTAAATTAAAATTTATTATTACATTTAATTTTTTTTTCTCAATAGTAAATTGAAAAACACTTTTACTTTGACCCAACATTAGTTAAAATGAACGAGAAAGGGATTGAGATATAACAAAGAGAAAATGAACCCTAAAGGGAGAACAATGAGCAATTAATATAACATAATTTTATCATCTAGATTCAAGAGTAGTTGGCCCCAAAAGAGTATTACTTATCATATTGTAGCATTTAAAGCTTTAATTTCCACCTGATCTTAAGCATAGATCCCAAAAGGAATTCATTATATCTAGGAAATATATTGTTATTTTTCTGGAAAAATCTTTGGTCCAATAGACAGATGAATGTAGTAAATGAGAGGACGACACATCAACACACGTTTTATATATTGTATGTATAGTCATTTTTTTAATTTTTTTTGGGTCGGAGTATCCGGGCAAGTTTGTGCGCACCTCAACTAATCCCCGAGTCCATTATATGTGTAGTGGTTTTCATTGGTCATTTATATGTATTTCTCTATATAACCAAATAGTTTTTTTATTATTTTATTTTTGAAAGCACTAAATGTAAGGGTGTTCAAAAGAGGTTAACAGAACTAGTTAACCGCTTTCTTGAACCTAACCGGTTTTTTGGTTCAGGAAAATTCGTAAACCAAAACCGAACCAATTAACCTCTTTGAAAAAACTGATTAACCGATTTTGAACCGGTTTTCCCCTTAAATTGGATTAAACTTATATCCATTGACCATAATTAATAATACATAAAAAAAAATTGATACAAATAAAAGTCCGTGATGAAACGTCCATAATAAAACAACAA